TGTCTAACCAATACTGGGTATGTGCCCGCAACCAAGGTACATGCCTTTGACCTGAATCAAACCTGGGACCCTTGAGTCCGCAGGTTGACGCTCTATCCATTGAGCCAAAAAGAGTTAGGGCCCCCATTCCTTTATCACCATAAAAATAAAGGCAAAAAAAAAAGCAGACCCATCTCTTCTGTTAATATTCTCTCTTTTCTGTACTTTATCCCTTAAAATTATTGTTCATATTGAAACAGAAAGTATCCTAATTGAGATACTGTTAGACCTAGTGAGGGGACGCTGGAGGGGATGCATGTTGAGGCCTCTGGTCACCAGGGGTTCCTTTGGCCAGGTTTTCACTTTGAATAATAATGAAGCACAATAGGAAAATATAAATGTTAAGTCCCTGACACTGCAGGACCAGCAGGGGAGAGTGCAGTTGCTGTCCTCAATTCCTCCAGCATTGATAAACAGTCTGCTTGGCTCCTTACAGATGTTGTCTACGAAGTCTAGAGTTACAAGTAACTATTTTCCAGCATGTAAAGGGATCCAGTCCTGTCCTTCAAAACAGCTTGGCTGCCTCCCCAGGATACAAGCAATTAAAAATATATATCCCTGGAAAAGCTGTTTCTCCAACAACAACAACAAAAAAATTGCCACTGATGTCAGGATATGCACTGTTTCCAAACCGAGAGCTAGAGGATCATTTCTTAAGCTTTTATAACCTAGTTCTGAAGGTCTGGAACTTCCAGAGGGACACTTCACCAGCAACGGGTCTAATCCCAGCCATCTTTCTGAAACCACAATCTAACTTTTAAAATGACCCATATAAAAACACGCACCTAGTCAGTAAGCTGCCTGCTTGTTTCTTATCTCTAAGAAGATATGACCAGGACCACTGATTTCAAAAGCTTTTAGCCTGGACAACGATCCCCTATTTTCACCAATCTCCCTCTTTTCTAAAATTAAAGAAAATAAAATAAAAAAATCACTCACAGCCTCATCAAACAAAACACAAGTGTTAGCACTTTTTAAAAATGCCCTTTCAATCGTTTTTCTTTTCCAATGAATAGGGTGTTGTTTTTGTAAGACCGTAATCACCCTGTACAGGCAAATTCTTTCTTCACTTATAACTGTAGGATGAACACGTTTTGTATCATTACATAAGCTTAAAAAAGTTGTCATGACTGCAAACAACAACAACAATAATCTCCCAATATTCGAACTACCTTCTTCCAACATACAGACTACCTTTTCCCCCAAGCTGTGTTTTCTCCCCCTCCAAGTACTAAACCTGCCCTCCACCCTGAGGATAAGAATAAACTCCAGCCAATGCAACCATTCCTTTCTGCATGACCTCTAAAGTCAGGCGGGCCCCACGATTCGGGGCCACTCCTCAGAAAACGGGGCAGTGGTGTTTCCTTTAGCAAACCACCCAGAAATATGGGGGAGAAACGAGGTCGGTGAGGGAGAAGTTCCCAGCTCCTGCCTTATCTCTGCTTCCAAGTCTCAGCTGCAGCTGGCTGCCCCGCCGGGGACTCGCCCACTGAGCAGCGGCGGCCAGAATCCTTGGCAGAGATAACCCTCAGCTCCACTGGGGTTAGGGGCTTGGCCAGACACGGTGGGCAGGGGAGAAAAACGGAAGGGCGGGGTGTAGGAGTGGGTTCTCTCGCGGGCCAGATGACTTACACAACGTTTTGGCTTCTAGTCCCTGAGAAGGGACAGGCAAGTGGGGGTGGGGATGGAAATCACTTTTTCAGGATTATACCCTTCAGCCTAGAAAGCGGGCAGGCGATGGGGGGAGGGGGGTGGGGGTGGGGTTCGACTTAGTAAGGTTTCCACCGAATTAGTGTGGGGCGTCCCGGCTCAAGAGTTTAGCCAGGGGTGGGGAGTGGGGTGTGGGGGGATGGGGTGGGGGCGCCCACCTGCAGCTGGCTGGAGCAGCCGTACTGGATGAGCGGCGTGAAAGTTGTCAGCTGCAGCTCGGCGTCCGTCTGCAGCTCGTGCCCCACCAGGTTGGGCATCTTGGTCACGTTGTAGCCCAGGTTCTGGCACATGGAGATGCGGATGGGGTCGCAGCGCCGCTCCTCCTCGTCCCCGAAGCCCCGAGCCGGCCCCGAGAGCAGCAGCAGCCCCAGCAGCAGCCGCAGACGGAGCCCGACGCCCCCGGGCGCCCCCGGGACGCTCGGCCCTGCGCCCCGCCAGGCCATGGCCAGAGCCGGGGGCAGCGGCGGCGGGGGCTGCTCCAGCAGGCACCCCCAGTTTGCACGGGGGGTCGCGCTGCTCCCAGCTCCGGGGCTAGGGAGTGTGATCAGGCGCCAACCAAGAGCGACGAGGGTGCAGCAGCGGTCGCCTCTCCAGCAGCTGCGCGCAACTGTGCGGGGTGTTAGGCTCCCCGGGGCGAGGCCGAGAGACGGGCTGCTTGGGTCATGGCTGCAGGCGGTGAGCCTTGGACCCAGCGCCCGGCCGCGTCGGCTCGGGGGTCTCCGCGAAGCCCGCCAGCGCCCAGCGCCGCGCCGCGCCGCTCTCACCGCCCGAGCCCTCCCGGGCGCTACAAGTTCGCTGGGCGGTGGCTGGGCTGGACGGACAGCGCGCGCTTCCAATGGGCGGGCTCTGTGGGCAGCGGGGGGCGGGGCCAGTCTGCCGCTGGAGGGCCAGGCCCCGCCCACCCGCCGCCCTCCCCGCTCCCCCCTCTTCTCCCCTCCCCGGAGCGCCCCGCCCCGCTTCCCGGCTCTCACTTTCCTCCCACCCGCTCCGCCGGGTTCAGGGGCTGGGCAGGGATGGAGTCGAGTCCCTCCGGCGGGGACAGCCGGCCCCCTCCCTCCTCTCCCAGGTGAGAAGTGCTCCCAGAATGGGTGGGCTTCCCTTTCCTTCCCTTTCCTTTTCCAGCGGTCACCTCGGTCCACGGCCACCTCCCCCACGTCAGGCAGAGAAACCCGTACAAAGAGCACGGGATTGGGATTTGCAAAAGCCTGGCTGTGTGACCTTGAGCAAATTGCACAACCTCTCGGCGCCCGCCTTTCTCCCTGTCCTTACAGAGACGGGGGAGGATGAGCGGTATAAAGCGTAAAAAGCGCTTAGCTCGGTGCCTGGTACAGCCCGCGCCCCGCAGCTCCGTCCACTCCCGTCTTGCTCGGGTGGGAGCCCGGCCCCCGCTCCCCGCCCCCAGGCTCCGCCGACCGGCGCCCGCCCGCCCACCCGGGAGCCCTGCCTCCCGCCGCCGGTGGGGGAGGCGCCCCGGAGCGGAGCAGCCGGGCAGCCGAGGGTCTCGCGCTCCGATTTCCTCGCCGCATGGAATGAAATTCCACAGGGGGATTGGAGAGGAAATGAAGCCGGGAAGCTCCGTGCTTCTCGGCCCGCCGCCCTTCCTGTCTCGGGGACACGGTTTCTAAATAAGGTTGGGAGGGAGAGAGGGCGGGAGGGGAGAGGCTGGACCTGCTCTAGAGGAGAAAGGGAGGGGGAGATGGGCTAGAAAGCGCCCAGCTACAGGGGCTCCCCTCTTCCCGGGTCCCAGGCATCCTTCCCTGCAGCCTGTATCTCTTTCTAACTTATTCTGCTTCTGCCTAGGGTCCTGGGGATCTGGGGACCATGCGACCTGCTTTCAATCCAACTTAACCCCTCTCTAATTCTCAGCCCTCCCGGACCTGCACCCCCTCCTCTTCCCCAGAGCTATGGGCTAGCTCCCCCTCTCAGGTTTTCAAGTGGGCCAGGGGAACCCTCAGCAGGTGGATTCCTAAGCCATGTACTTGTTGCTTTACCGAGGTCAAGGTACTGTGAGTCTCAGCCTCCATCTGGCCATCCGTGAAATGAGTAAGCTCATGTCTGCATCACACAGTTGTTCTAGGAGTTAAATGAGGGAAATACCTGTAAGTCATTTAGCTCAGTGTCTGGCACAGTGTCTGGCAAGTGCCAACTATCTTAGTTATTGATGTGGGACAGCCTGTAGCTTCCTGGCACTGTGCCCAAGTCACCTCCAGCTGTCCAGGTCTGAGGATCTGGGTGAAGAGCTTTCTTCTCTTTTTCTGAGATCTTCTGTCCAACACATGCCACTGTTTTCCTGGGGTTGGTGACAGGGACCACGTTTTTGTGGGTGCTTGTACCCTCCCACGTCAGCTAAGTCTGGCATATGGCAGAGGCTGGATATAAGTTGGAAGGAGGTCTGTGCCACTAGTGCTCATATTGTTTTGTAGTTTTAGTTTGGCAACTATTTCCTTGGCTAAAGGAAATACTGGAATCAACTTTTTTGTGTGTGTTTGGCTCTGTACCAGAACTGTGTTATACACATAGAAGCTGCACTGTTTCCAACCATCATCATCATCATCATCTCCTGGGGAAGGAGACTCCACTAGCCTGGGAAAGAGATGAAGAAACTGAGGCTAGAACCAAAGTGATAGAAAATGAAAGATCAGTCAAACCAGGGCTCAAAAGCGGCCTTTCCGAAATGGGGAACAGAGTCGTTTCTCCAGAAAATTTCCCAGCTGGAGATCGACATACTCGGCAGTAGGGTTAAAGCTTCTGTATGCCTGTGCTGAGTAACACATGAGACCATTGGCCTACATAGATGAATAAATCATTAGGTGTATGCATCAAGTCAATAGATGATCCCCACCCTCTAGGACTCACGGGAGACAAAGCATAAACAGGCAACTGTAACTCAATGCGGTAAAAGCACAGGGAGAACTTTAGGTGAATCCAAAGTAGAGGTAGCTACGTTAGGAGGGCTGCTCAAAGGGAGACTATTGCAGGGATTCTGAGCTACTCAGAGAGAAGCGCTAGTGAGCAATGGTACTTCTCCTAGGGCACTTGCAGGGAGGACAGCAAGGTTTGCTTTGCGCTAAAGATATGTGAACATGGTTTATTAAACAGTGACCTCCATGAAGACAAGGAACAGGTGCTGTCCCTTGCCCGGGGCCTGGCACATAGAGGGAAAATCGTTAAGTGCTGGGTGAACGAATACTGTTAACAGATCAATAACAAATAACTCCTATTGAACTTACACCAGATTAAGGGTTAAGTGCTTTACATGCATATTATCTCTTTTATTTTGCACAACAGCTTGAGAAAACTCATGTTCTGGGCGGTTAAGCAATTTGCCCAAGACTACACAGTAAGAGACAGAAAAGGGCTCAGATGCATGTCCACCTGGCCCAGGTCTGTGTGCAGTGCATGGTGCTGGTCTCACCGAGGACACTGTGGACACTCAGTCATCTCTATAGTTAAAGGTGACCCTTTTATGTTCTGGGGCCTCTTGTACCTGGCCCTGGCCTCCCTGCCTCATCTTGCTTGAAGCAACTGTCTCCTTTCAGAACACTCGGAAGAAGAAGGCCATTCCCTGTCAGAAGCTTTTCCTGTCAACAGCTTTTCTTTCCCTGCATGGAACTCATCACAGGTATTTTCCAAAAAAAGAAAGCCAGGGGAGTCACATTTCAGTCTGAATGTGGAAAGAAAACAAAGACCACAACTTAGGGCTAAGTCTGAATGGCCTGGAGCCCCTCAGCCTCCCTCTCGCAGAGTGGTTTACACAGTCGCCAGTCTGCTCCTGGTGACAGGCATGGCATGTTTGTCTTTGTTGCAGAAAACACTTCCAAGCCGAGGGCTATCCACCCTGTGACATGCAAAGCATTTAGGAGCAGAAGACAGGGACACATGAATAGGACCTTCCATTAGCCTCGCAGGCCATGGGCCCCTAGTGGCTCTGGCCCCAGTGCCCGGGCAGCTCCCTCTGTCCACTCTCTTAGGACACATGCAGCACACTCTGGAGGTGCAACAAACATGACTTGGGAGGCAGTTGGAGGGCTCTCTATTTGCATCTAATGAGAGGCCGGGTTCTAATTAATTCCTGTGATGTGTTAATTTTTCAACCTGACACTTTCTGCTCTAATAGATTCTTGTAATGGTTCCTAAATTAAAGGCTGCATTTAAAGACTAGCGTTTAGGTTAAAATCCACCACCTAGGGGGGTTGGGGTGGGGTAGGGGGTGTAAACATCCTTTCCTTCGTAAGGAAAACCTCTCATTTGCAGTTTTTTTGCTAACCCAATTAAGTGCTGAAGTAGTCACTCCAGAGCCTGCTTTTCATTTTCGGCGAAACAATCCAAACTAATCCATATTCAGTAGCTTCCAAGAAAAGTTTTATTCCAACCACTCACGAAGAAACCAGCTTCTTTGAATCTGGACAGAACATTTAGAACTCACAAAGAGCTGTCTTGATGGAAAATGCGAGAAAGTGGTTCATTATCAACCTGTTTAGTTTTTGAGGGGGGGAATTCACTGGAACTAAAACCTCACAGGATTGGCAACTCACTGTGGAAAACAGAAGCATAGGGAGAAGTCATGCCACAGCCTATTAGTTTATAGATAGTCAAGGTGCTACATCTTCTCCAGTACCCAAACTAGCTATAAAACAGGGTAAAGTGGAACCCTAACCCTAACCCTAACCGGAATCTTGCTTGAAGAGGAAGAATCAAAGGCCCCAAGTGGTTAAGTAACAAGACAGAGCCAAACCTTCTTATCTATTGCACCACTAGCCAGCAGAGAAGAATCCAGTCACCACAGAGCTCTTGCATGTCAAGGAATCAGAGCCCTGTTCCTCCTATCAAGTGTAAGACAGTACATAAAACATTCTATCTCTTGGTGGTGATGGTTTAATATATAGGTGGGTAACCATGAACCTTTGCAGGAGACAAAAAATAATGCAAACACATCCACAACTTCATTTCATTTCAATATTTATCAGTCAAGCCACTAGCCAATATTTAGTGACAGGTTATTATGGACATGTCACTGAGAGGTCTTTCCTGAACTCATGTCGCAGTCTCCTTTCAGTCACTCCCTCCTTAGCTCTGCTTTATTTTCTTCACTAGAGGCCTGGTGCATGAATTTGTGCATGGGAGGGGTCCCTCAGCCTGGCCAGCAATCGAGGCCTATTGTGGTGCCAGCTGGCTGAGGGGAGGGACCCTGGGAGTCTGGCTGTGGGATAGCACTGAACACCAGTGTACAGCTCCTGCATTGAGTGTCTGCCACTTATGGTCAATGCACATCATTGTTCTGGTTGTTCCAATAGTCCCAGGCATTTGGTTGTAATTGTTGCTTAGACATATATATGTGTGTGCAGATATATATGTGTGTATATATATATACAAGCATATATATATATATATATATATATATATATATATATATATATATATATGTATGTATACACACACACACACACACACACACACACACAATATATATATATGCACACATATACATATTAATTAGAGGCCCAGTGCACAAAATTCATGCACTATGTGTGTGTATGTATGGGGGAGGCAGGTCCCCTCAGTCCAGCCTGCACTCTCTTCAATCTGGAATCCCTTGGGATCAGGCCTAAACTGGCAGTTGGACATTCCTCTCACAATTTGGCGCCACTGGCTCCTAACTGTTCACCTGCCTGCCTGATCACCCCCAACTGACCCCTGCTGGCCTGGTTGCCCCAACTTTCCTCCCGCCAGCTTGGTTGCCCCTCACTGCCCTCCCCATGGCCTGGTCGCCCCCAACTGCCCCCCTCTGCTGGCCTTGTCACCCCTAACTTCCCTCGGCTGCCAGTCTGGTCTCCCCTTACTGCTTCCCCTGCCAGCCTGGTCACCCCCATTTGCCCCCCATTGCCTACCTGGTTGCCCCTAACTCTCCCCCCTCCACTGGCCTGGTCACCCTTCACTCCCCCCCACCCCTGCCATATGGTCATCCCCAACTGCTTCCCCTGCCTGCCTGGTTGCCCCATGCAGCCTGCTGTTCAGTCGTTTGGTCATCCCTCACTAACCCCCTGCTGGCCTTGTCGTCCCACAAAACATGTTGTTCAGTAGTCCATCCAGTTGTTTTGGTCATGATGGCCCCTGGTTTTTTATATATTGGGATAGATGGCACTCACAGATGTCTATAACTGGTTTGGTGGTTTACTTGCTTATTTAATTTTCTTTTTCTACCACCTGAAAACAATCTTCACAAGAATAGGGTCTTAGCGATCTTCTTCACTAAAATATACCTGGTGCCTAGAGAATGCTCAATAAATATTTGTTAAATGAATAAACTTACATAGTACCTGCTGTTGTTCTCCCTGTTTTACAGTTGAAGATACAGAGCCTCAGAAAGATAAGAAACTTGCCTCAGGTCCCACAGTAAGTGGCAGAGTTGATATTCCAACACAGGTCCATCTGACTCCTCAGCATATGCTTTTGACCATTATGCATCCTACTGTAGCTGGCTCCGTGGCTCCACAGTGTCCTCCGGGTGTGAAGTGCCTTATAGGGTATTGGAGCTGGAATCCGTGCTAATCAGCTAGTTCCTTGCTTAGTCATTGAAGTTAATCAGTTAACAGCTATGTATTTACTGAGTCTGTATAGTATGCACTGCTAAGTTAACTAAACTGCTCCTCCAATTGGGACAGACATTAAGGGCGACTCATTTATCACATCCTGAGAATTTCCAAATGCCTGCATTTTTATGTGATCTTTCCTCAGTAGCTCTCAAATTTTCAGTTTCAAGAATTTGACTAAATTTTAAGCCTCCCTACCTTAAATTTTTTCCATGATCTTCTTGGCTTTAAGAATCCCTACTAGGGTTTAATTTCTATTCTAAAATGAGACAAAAAGGGCACATTTTAAGAAAATAATTTTCAGAAACATACAGAAAAACAAACAGCTGATAGCATCTGTTAGACTACAGAGGCTGGGAAAGAACCTTCCAGATCATTATTACAGAACCTCACTCAAAAGCCAAGACCCAGAGGGTGGAGATGACTTATCTAAGATAGGCTTAGAACTAAATATTCTTTTCTTTCCCTCTAGGACTCTTTCCACCATATCACAATGACTTCCTTCTACCCTTTTACCTGGGAAACAAGGGTTGTTGTCGGAACCAGGTTATGCTAAATAGCAGCAGACCCATTGATCATATCTGAAGGTTCAGATATACAGGGAGTTAGGTTATAGATTGTTCTGTCTAACCAGGCCCTTTCTCTTACTCAATAATACCACCACACATTACCACTCTCATGCTAAGAATGACTAAACCTGCCTCACCTGCCAATCCTTCATCTACCTCAGCCATTCCATTCCTCCTTCCTCCTTGCCTAAACATTGTATTTCAGAAAAGCTGTATCAAATGACTTCCTAAATTTTGCTTCTGTGACTGCCATAGCCTCCCTTGAGGAGTAAGCCAAAGCATCCCTACTAATGAATTCTGAATTATAGCAACCCCATGAGGCTGGAGCAGTGGAAGTTATATGGCTCGGGGAATATCAGAACCGAAAAACAGTCTCAGAGACCAAGGAGTCTACCTCATCACCTCATTTGCAGATAAATGTGGGTATTGAGAGAAAAGGAAATGTTGACTGTACACTTTGATAATGCTAGCTAGACATGAAGCAAGGCTAGAAACCAGGCCTTCTGGCTTTGAAGATCAGTATTTATTATATGATGCTGGAGTCTTGGCAGAAGGGACACAGTGAGCCCTGGGGAAAGGGTGTTAACCGATATACAATGTCTTTTCAGCAAGAAAATCAGGGAATTCTGTTTTCTTTTTAGAATTAAGCTCCACCATAGTAACTCTCTACAGGAAAAGCAAAGGCAATAAATTAAAAAAAAAAAATCATCCTAGGACTTTTGTGATAATTAAAGAGATACATATATGGAGTTCCTTACCACTTGGCATGGAAAATCCCATTAGTTTTTCTTGTGGTATTGAGTTAAACTTGCCTATATCGTGGTGCTGAAATCCAAGATTTCTCCACTTCTCATTCTATTAGTGTGTTTTTTTTTTTGGTGCCTCTTAGTACAGATGAACTTCCTGGGCATAAATTCATCTTATCTATAATAATAAAAGGGTAATATATTAATTAGACCAGATGTCTTCTGGATATCATTCTGGACATCCTTCTTGATGAAGCCGAGGCTAGAGGGAAGCCAGCCCGGGTCCCAGATGCCTGCGGTGGCCAGAGGAGGGGAACCCAGGTCCCAGGTGCTGGAGGGAAGCTGGTGCTGGCAGCCAGGGAAAGGAAGGCCTAATCTTGCACAAATTTTTGTGCATCAGGCCTCTAGTCCTATATAATAAAAGGTTAATGTACAAATAGACCGAAGAGCAGAACGGCCAGTCACTATGATGTGCACTGACCACCAGGGGGCAGTCACTCAATGCAGGAACTACTCTCTGGTGGTCAGTGCACTCCCACAGGGGGAGTACCGCTCAGCTAGAAGCCAGGCTCATGGCAGGCTGAATTTGTGCATCAGGCCTCTAGTATTCTATATAAATAGTGCCCTCTGGAGCTCTACAATATATATCTCTTTATATTATGGTAGGACAGCAAATAATAGCTAAAGTGCTTTATCAATGTTAATATGTAAGGACTATTCTTACGTCTATTTGTCAGTGACAGAAAAGAAAATTTGAAGATAGATCAGAGCAAGAAAATTAAGCCAGAGAGATCTGATTAGAAACTCTAACTTGACAGTTTACTAGTTCTGTGATGCAGACCAACTCTAACTTTCTGAGCTTCATTGTCTATATCTTTAACATGGGAATAGTAAAAATAATGGCAGACACTGTTGGTTATTTAGCCAGTAGCCTCCCCATACTCTATTTGCCCAATCCCAACCTTTCTTTCTTTCTAACAATAATATGTCAATATCACATGCTTCAAAAGAAGATGAGCTCTTTCATAGTCCTAGAGCCTGGGGATAAATCTCTTCCCTTGCAAATGATTGGTTTAAGAATGGGTATATAACATAATTATAGCCAAGTATAAATGGAGCATAGGTTGGAAGGGCTCATCTTTTAGGACATTTTCCTTAAGATTTGCTTTTTCTTACTTTAGCTTTTGGATGTTATGACTGAAACTGTTATTGCTTTCTTGCTACCAAAAACAGTATAGGCCAAATGCTGAAGATGAATGTGGGGTTAATTTTTTCCTTAATTTTTTAAAATTTGTGTGTATATATATATATGTGTGTGTGTGTGTGTGTGTGTGTGTGTGTGTGTGTGTGTGTGATTACTGGATCAAATGGGAGTTCCATTTTTAACTTTTTGAGGTAACTCCATACTGTCTTCCACAGTGGCTGCACCAGTCTGCATTTTCACCAGCAGTGCAGGAGGGTTCCTTTTTCTCTACATCCTTGCCAGCACTTGTCATTTATTGATTTGTTGACGATAGCCATTCTGACAGGTGTGAGATGGTATATCATTGTTGTTTTGATTTGCATTTCTCGCGTAATTAGTGACTTTGAGCATGTTTTCATATGTCTCTCGGCCTTCTGTATGTCCTCTTTCGAAAAGTGTCTATTTACATCCTTTGACCATTTTTTGATCGGATTGTTTATCTTCCTTTTGTTAAGTTATATGAATTATCTTTAAATTTTGGAGATTAAGCCCTTATCAGAAATATAGTTGGCAAATATATTCTCCCATGCAGTGGGGTTTAAGCCACTTTTAATTGGGTTTTCTAATTTCTTGCACCTGAAGGTATCATAACTGACCCAGACATCAAGCAAGTAGACATATAAAAATTTACGGGTGATCAGTAAATATTAGTTCTCTTCTTAGCATCATAGAGCAAGACTCTTTAATAATGATAATCCCTTAAATAGTTTAGTCCTTTGTCACAGAGTGCTTTCATAGGCATTTTTCTACTACACTATGAATTTCTTAAAGATTGAGACCACATTTAATTAATTTCTAGCTCAACAGGTGTTGAATGTATCTTAGACTATATCGATCTTTTAACAGATTTCCTCTTCATTGATGCTCACTTGTAAGTAATTATCTAGGAACTGGTCAAAGTGAACTTGACACAACTCTAGATGTGTACCTCATGATACAATTGGTAATAGGACACCTTAATTTGGTACTTTGGCAAACCTTATATTGAAAGTGATGTGCTTATATAGGATGTACTATTATCTAGGGCCTATGCTATATGGAAGGCATCATTAACTTAATAATTAACCTATCATGTGAACATTCCCTGTCTGTTAGGATTGCCACCAAGGACAGAATTAGGCTGCTTGGAAGGGCTTGGGTAACGTAGGGCTCTAAGAAGAGCAATAGAAAGTGCCAGATGTGACTCTAAAAAGGAAACAAGAATTTTAAGAATAGATCACTATCACCTACCTACCTCTGCCTGCTGGAGGATATGGTCTTCTCTATACTACAGATCAGAACCAAGAAAGGGAGAGAGGAGGATCCCTGTGAGACATCATTCCGTGTATATATTGGGAGAATGGAGTGTGGAGTGGAAGGAGGTTATCAAGGGAAAGGAAGTCTATGACTGTTTGCAGCTTTGAGCTTTTTCCAAGAGGAAGAGCCTTTTTAAGGAACATTCAACACTTAACCATGAATCCCATGTAGTCTGTGTGAATGAAGGGAACCCTTGACCAGCAAACCCTTTTTTATGGGTTTTCCCCAGCAAGGCTGTAGGAAGTGATTAATATTATTTCAACAGCTATTCCCTCATTTAAGCCCTACCAATTCCAGAATATAGAAGGCCAGGTGTATATAGCTTAGGAAATGCATTTGGCATCTAGTACCCCAAGTAATGGTGTCAGTAGTTTTTCAGACCCTGCCTTGAGTACTACTGATTAGGAACTTCTGAGCTGGGCAACATATTTTGAGGAGAGACCTGGCAGCTAATTACTTTGATAGGCTTTATCTGTGAGGATAGGTCATGTGGGTAGGAGAGTTAGGGGTGTCGAACTCAATCAGAGAAGGGGCCAAAATCTAAAATCCAGCCTAAATCGTGGGCCGAATGGTTTACTGAACAGTCATAAACTGTCATTGCGATGGAAACGCAGCGGAGTGCAGTGATGACAGCGTGGTGCGGGCCACATTGCAAGGCCTGGCGGGACGGATTTGGCCCGCGGGCCTTGTGTTTGACACATGTGGTCTAGAGAGTATGAGGCTTAGGTATTCTCTGTAGGAGATCCTCACTACGGTCCCCTATGCCCACAAGAGGGACCTTTACCCTGAACAAAAGGGCATGCACAATATCAGGGCTGCTTCTAGCCCATGTTCTGTGAGAATTAATAAAATCATCCCCTCTAGGGGGACACTGAGCACAGGGTTCATGGTTAGGTGAGAAAAGTAGAGCTGTATTTTAGCCCCACTTTCTCAGAGTGGGGTGCCTTTGTATTATATACGGTACAATCTACTCAACCATATGGGATGGTTTTACATTATATACAACCCTCTCATTTTTAAAAAATATATTTTATTGATCTTTCACAGAGAGGAAAGGAGAAGGATAGAGAGCTAGAAACATCGATGAGAGAGAAACATCAATCAGCTGCTTCCTGCACACCCCCTACTGGGAATGTTCCTGAAACCAACGTACATGCCCTTGACCGGAACCGAACCTGGGACCCTTCAGTCCATAGGCCGACGCTCTATCCATTGAGCCAAACCGGTTTTGGCCTCTCATTGGTTTTCACCAAGTGAGGATCATAGAAATCTGAGGATTAATAAAAAAAAATTTAATATGGTTTTTGGGGGGTCCCCAGTAGAACCCTAACTAAATAGCATTCTTTTTCTGATTGGGTTCAAAACAAATGAATGAATGAATGAATGAATGAATGAATGAATGAATATACATATAAATAAGCTAGCCAAAAATATTACCTTTATTATTGACAGAGCTAGACTGATCAGTAGATGCTACAGCTCTTTATTCACTGACTATTCAGATACTGAATAGACACTATTTTTGAAACACCCCACACAACAATTTTGGGAAGTAAATATTATGATCCCTATTTTGTAAATAAGGAAACTGAGTTTGTACGTTGGAGGAGAATTCAAACGCAGGCCTGACTAGACCCATAGCTACCCCCATCTTCTTACTTGGCACCGCGACTTCTGGAGACCCAGCTGGAACTTCCACAACCA